CTGAGTCGTTTTAGCCATAACCGTATATAAGTATGTCTGTATATATGCGAACTACTTGTAGTCGCTTAGTTTTTAAGTTATTGTTTTGAAATATTGCAACCATCCTTTTCTCACCAGGAAGCTGCTCATTTGTTGTAACGACCGATATCGCTCTACTATAACATATAGCTCCATACAAATTGAGCGATCGGAGTCAAGTGTTTGTATGGAAAACTTTTTCATATGAGGAAATATTTTCACGAAATTTGTCACGGCTTATTGCGCAAGACAATGGTGCCATCTTCGAAGAAATTATTATGATCGAATCACTATAGCATAAAGCTGCCATAAAAACTGTACGATCGGCATGTATGAAACAAATTTTCATTTAACGAGATGTCTTCACCAAATTTGGCATGAATGTTTGTCCAAAGCAGCGGTACAATCTTCGAAAAAATTGTTCAGCTCAGATCACTATAGCATATAGCTTCCAAACAAGCTGTACGCTCGAAGTACTCGAAGGAATATTTTGTATTTGTGAAGGATATTATAGCTTAGGTGCAACAGAAGTTAACGTTTTTTCTTGTTTTAAATAAAATTTTAGCATGTATGTATATGAATAAGTGAATTTTATTTTCTTAAAAGTTTTTTTACAAATGTATGTATGTATGTATGTATATGCATAAGTGAATTTTATTTTCTGCTTTATGTGGGTGAGCGAGGTTTAATGTGTTAATATTTGTACTTGTACGGCAGCGTATGCTTTTAGTCACTTATATTATATATACAATATACTATAGTTATTTAGGTTATTGTGCTGGAAAATTCCATGCATATTTAAAAATCAGTAACCTCAATATTAGCTGCGTCGCAACATTTCCCCCACAACACACGCACGCACGCACACATCCATACGAGTATGCCAATATCATAATAAACACATGCGGGCCAATGGCCAATTAGTCACCTGGGTGCGTACCAAAAACCGATTCCAAATTGAGCAGAAAGTGGCAAACAATTGTGCGAATCAAAAATTTGCATAAATACTTAAGAACGCATAACTTCAGTAGAAATTGCGTTGGTGGTGGTGCTGGTGGATGCGTTTAGCCAGTTGCGGAGAAAGAAATACGCGAGAAAATAGAAGAATTAAAATAAAATATAAAATCAAAGCAGCAATTTAGTATTGAGCGAGTTGCAAAAACAAATCAAACGCAAAGCAATGTGCATGGGTGTATGTGTGTGTTCGTGTGAGTATGACGCATTACACTTCCACACCCACACGCAACAACGACAACAATGACCAATTGTTGATGGTTAGTGTGAAAAAATGCGAACGGAACGCAAAAGAACAACTTTCGAAATGTAAATAAACTGTTTACCATAATGGAAACTGTGCGTTGGTATGTGTGTGTATCGGCTAATTTGTCTGGCTGCGTGCAGGCGGTAGTCACTACTGTATATGCAATTGCGAATGGCATTTTTGGCAAAACCAGAACACACCTTTCGCTGTATAAAGCAAAAATGGCATGTTATGAATGCTGTGTGTATGTAATTCTCTAAAGAAAAAATTAACAAAAAATAGATATAAATTATTGGAAAATGCAGCAGAAAATGCAAGTGAAGGCTTTGTGTATTTTGAATTGCATTCTGCATAAGCAAATTGCTGTTGTTGTATTATGATATACATATACACATATGTATACATATGTGAGCTTTTAGTGATTTGTGCCACACATTATTTCCTATAATAATTGCAACCTTGAGATTATTTTCAATACAAAATTTTACTTTTTATCTAAAATTTGTATGAAGAAACTAACAGGCACCGTCACTTTTCTAGGAAAACTATCTATACGAATGAAATAATTGATAAGATTGACTTAGACAACGAAATGCAATTAAAAAATGAACTGATATGAGCGACACCAAAGCAGAATCACACCATATACATATACATACATATATATTTTTGCAAACAGGTGTCTCGTTCGGAAACTTAAAATATTAGCTGAAAAACAAAACTTGTCACAAAATACTAAAAATACATAAAGTATAAACGCTTATCAGCAAGCAAATATTAAAAATCAGCGCAATGTACAGGCCACTAGAAAATATTTATAAATTTGTTTGTATATGTAAAAGGCAATCAGTAAAAGTGAATTAAAATATATACATATATACAAAAAGATGCAATAATAAATATTAATTTGTACACGGTTACCTTTTATTTTAATCGAAATTATAACAATTAATTAAACAAAACTTGTTTACTTGCTTTTTATTTATTTTTTTGTATTTTTTATACCATGTAATACACAGAAGGAAACACCAGAGACACTATAAAATATATACAAACGATTAACATGACGAGCTAAGGCGATTCAGCCATGCCTATCTGTCTGTCCGGCCGTTTATCTGTCTGTGTACATGCGAAATTAGTCTCTCAGTTTTTGAGTTATCGATCTGGAAGCCTCCACTCGTAATTTTATATCCAAGAAGCTGCTTATTTGTCGGAATGGCCGATATTGGACCACTATTGCATATAACTGCCACACCAACTGAACGATCAGAATCAAGTGTTTGTGTGGTAAACTTCTTAATTTGACGAGATATCTGCACAAAGTTTGGCACGGCTTATTGTGCAACATAATGGTGTAATCTTCGAAGAAATTATTAAGATCGAATCACTATAGCATACAGCTGTCATACAAACTGGTCGATCATAATAAGTAAGAAAGCTTTTGTGTTTATGAGGGGTATTATAGTTTCGGTGCAACCGAAGTTAACGTTTTTTTTCTTGTTTTAATTTAATTTTGTTTATATTCTATGTCTAACATGAATTATCACTGATTATTCAGCAATTGGTGTAGTTAATGATGTTATCAACGGCAAACATGAGAAATAGCAATAAAAAAGATTGATTTGAAATGAGCTAGGCTTTTTGCCGGATGTAGTTGATTATACACACATATACATGCGTATTAATATATACTTGTTCTGCGCTAATAAATAATTAAATTAATAAATATACGCTTGCCTTATTAACTTTTTTTTATTAGAGACTGCTGAGTGGCAGCGCGTTTCATTCATACGATTTCATATCGCGAACTACGGCCGTTCATATTTACATATGTATGTATATATAGTACTACTTTATGCATATATCTGTATCTTTGGCATTTCTCTTATCTTGTATACCTACTCTGTGCTTTATTTATTTAAATTCGATTTTTGAGTGCATGTCAATCAAAATGGTGCAAAACTGTTAAATCAATATTGAAAGTGGCGTATGTAAATATATATGCATATAGATATGTGTATATACACTCATACATACATACATATGTAAGTGTGTAAGCTACACAGAAAGGCATTGAAAGTAAGACGTAATATCACTGCACTTGCAGCATTTCAAGGTCAATGGAGCTCGCATAATACAAAATTGTTAAATAATACACATATTTACAGTTATGTGTGATGTTAGTTGTATAAAATAAGAAAAAAAGTAAACTTCGGCTGCAACGAAGCTTTAATACCTTTTCAAGTGTATTTCTTCTAGCATAAAAGAGTATAAAAGGATTTTTATCTTGATTTTGATCGCTCAGTTTGTATGGCAGCTATATGCTATAGTGGTCCGATGTGAACAATATCTGCCGAGATTGTAGCGTTGCCTTGGATTGTAAGCTATGCTAAATTACGTGAAGATATATTGTGAAATAAAAAAGTTTTCTATACAAGGATTTCATTGTGATTCACTCCAACCCAGTAAAGTAGAGAGTGGGGATAAAGTGATCCTCTCCGTCCCGGTTTGTCAGACAAGCAACAACAAGCAGATTATTTTCTTTAGCAATTCTCTCACGGCCTTGCTCCAACCACTCAAAGGTAAAAACTTTGATGTTTTCTGTTATAAGTATCAACATCTAAATATAGGTATACATACGTTGTGTTTTTGTTTTTGTATAAGAAATTATTTTCCAGGTATATGTTTATATTATTGAAATAGTTGACTACGAAAACACTTACGCACACATTCATATTGTCGTCAATACCATCCCATAAATACCATTTGAGTAAGTAATTAACAGCAAAGTAAAAACAATGACAAACACACGAAAAAAAAAACAAGAAAAAAGCTTGAATTGAGGCAGAATATTTGTACAAAAACCTATTAAAATTAAATTTGTATTTTCTATGATTGAAATATTGCTAATGGACTACGTATCTACAAAGTATCCATTATCATGCATACCTACGAGCAAGCATTATCAGTGAAACCGCGACGAACTAAATAACACATGCCCTAAAATATTATATCAGCGCGCAGGGTCTCAGAAGCAACAGCAGCAGCCAGATAAGGAGTAAGAGTGGTAAATTAGCACTTTCACATTGAAGGCCGCAGTGAAGAAAAGGGGGTGTTGTATAAGAAAAATCACATAGGCACACACGTACACACACACACACACACATGTAGATATCGACAGAGGCAAAATATAATATTAAAAACAAAAAATGGTAATGTAACAGAAATGTCAATCATATTTTCAGTTTTTGTTACAATGTACGCGCGTATATGTGTGTCTGGCTGTCATATGGCAAAGTAATTTTCCAAGCATGTCAAATAACTATGAAGCACTGATAAGATTATTTTCGTAAAGGCATATAGACCAACTGTAGATATTTACCAACATTTTACTAAATGAAAACAAAGTAAATCAATGCTAAACAACACCCGGGAACTACAAAGTAAATGAAACGCCATTAAACAATAGATAAATATTTAATTTAAAATAATTTTTTAATTTCCCACAATAGCCAGCAAGCAAATACAATAAGTTATATGGCATTAATTTCATATACAAAGGCTTATCTTGGGTTATTCAATAACTCTGACGCAATTAGCTATCGTATAAATGCTGCCAATATTTACACTTGATTTGTTGCTATGTAATATTACACAATACAATTCAGTTTGTTTGCCAAGGTATTCCCCGCTTATAAAATATTTATTTATTTCTTTTTAGACGGAATCTCTGAAAATCTCCACAGATTCGGATCTACATGATTGGTTCATGGAACGTGATATGAAAGATCCGGCTGTTATGATACTAAATGACAAACTGATGTCAGATGCTCTATTCAATTTGCAGCCGATTAAGTCGGAACACTCATATAGTTTAAATAGTGATGGCGATTCATTGCCAGATTCACCACATAGCCTGCAGACGAAAATGGATGGTGAGTATTATTTATATGTTGAGTAAGAAGTAGTGTGTAGGAAGAACGACTAAGTGCCAGTTTAGGTTAATTGAAACTCAATTGGAACAGAACTACTGAATTTTTGTTAAGGAAAAATTATAATATATTTAATATAATTTTGACGACATTTTTGGGCTTAAGCAGCACTGCGGGCTCTCTAAAAAGAGATGCTATTAAGTTCAAACATCTTCTTAATTTAGTCGATTAGTAAATACGATATAGAGAAAAGTGTTTTATTTTAAAGGCTGTCTGAAACGCCTAATATGAGTACTTAAAAAGTTAGTGCTTGAAGCTTTGTTGATGCAATTGATAGTATTGCCTCCGCAAAAGAAAAGAAAATAACCTTCACTATTTAACAGTAAGCTAGAGAAAAATTCACGTCTTAAGTATTATATTAGGTCCAGTAAAAAGTTCGTTCGGTTTTTATCTAAGAGATGGCGTTATTGTTCATAGTACTAGTGTTACGTGTCGGACCATGTCATACTATACGGCGCTGAAAACGTGTTTATTCGCGCTAAAAGTTTGTCTTTGACAGTTTTTCGGTTGATTAACTCAGTTCGTTGTGAGCGCTCGTCAAACATGGACACCAACAACGAGAAAATTCGCTATATTTTACAATTCGATCAAAGCCAAAAAGCGGCCAAAGCGGCTGAAAACATTAATTTAGTTTATGGGCAAGATACTGTAATCGAACGTGTAGCACAAAAGTGATTTGCTAGGTTCCGTACCGGTAATTTCGATGTCAAAGATGCACCACGCGTCGGGAGGCCTGTCGTCGAAAATTGCGATAAAATCATGGAAATAGTGGAATCAGACCGTCACGTGAGCACTTATTTAATTGCTGAGGAACTAAAGATAAACCAGAAAACCGTTTGGAACCATTTGCATAATCTTGGATTCAAAAAGGAGCTCGATGTTTGGGTGTCACACGAACTAACGAAAAAAACATGATGGACCGAATTTCCATCTGCAAATCGCTGCAGAATCGCAACAAAATCCACCCGTTTCTGAAGTGGATTGTGACTGGCTATGAAAAATGGGTCACTTATGACAACATCGAGCGCAAACGGTCGTGGTCAAAGCTCGGGGAAGCGGCCCAGATGGTGGCCAAGACCTGATTGACGGCCAGACTGTGTGTTTGATGGGATGGGCAGGGAATCATCTACTGCGAGCTGCTCCCCTATGGCCAAACGCTCAATTCGGCCCTCTACTGCCAACAACTGGACCGCTTGAAGGCAGCACTCATCCAGAAGAGGCCATCTTTGATCAACAGAGGCCGAATTGTGTTCCATCAGGACAACGCCAGGCCAGGTGACTCGCCAGAAGCTCCTGGAGCTCGGATAGGAGGTTTTAATGCACCCACCTTATAGTCCGGACCTGGCACCAAGTGATTACCATCTTTTCCTGTCAATTTTTTGTTATCCAAAATTTTCAAAATATTCTCTATTAGTATTGAAAATATTGAAATAGTTAGGTGCTCTGGGAAACGTTATACATAAATCGATTTTCAATATATCTTATGCTTAAAGGTAGATAAACTGCTTAAACTTATCAATTCTAAATTTTCGCCAAAATTTTCGAAGTAATATCAACTAGTTTAGAAATCGTTGCCTACATTTAGGCGGCATGTGAAGCGATGTACATACATATAACGATTTTTTAGCTTTTTGCTTAGAAGTAGTTGAAAGTAGATAAACTGCTTAAGTTTTTCAATTCTCATATGCATTTCCCAACGAATTAATGCGAACATTTTTGATAATTATATATGCACATATAAGCATTTCGCAGTCTGGTGTACAATAAAAAAAAAATAACTAACTAAATAATCATTTCAAGAAATCATTTTTTTGAGTTTTTTATCTTTTTTGGAATTTATTTTCCTATTCTTTGCTTCAACATTCGTTTCCTATTCACAACCGCCATTAGTACAGTGCCCTTAAAAACAAACCAAAAAAAAAATTTAAACTCACGTCAAGGGTGCAGAGCAGCATGAACAATTGATTTATTTTAAGCTATAAAATATTTAATTTGTTTTTTATCTAAAAGAATTATTTACAGTAGAAGCGTGTTCGATAAACTTCAGCGCCACTGTAATTTTATTTGCTTGTGTGTATGGTATGCGTGTCTGTCGTACTTTAACCTAAAAAAAAACTATTTTTAATATTTTTCTTTTGCAAACTGTCGTCAGTTCAACAGTATTGGCAATAACTAAATATAAGTACAACAAAAAAGTGACAACAACTCTATTACCTAAGCAATATTTCAATCAAGTCAGCACTTCTCATTAACTGCCTAGTAATTGTAACGAAAACACATGCAACTACACGAGTGTCGTGACAAATGAGTTCTTCCATTTTCCACACATAAATTAAAAATTTCCACTTCGTTCGATAAAAACAAAACAGATACACACGCGCAAAAGCACAACAACAAAACGAAACTCAAGAAAAACAAACAACTAAAAAAATTGAAACTGTAACAATTTGTGTAAAACGCAAAATTAATATATATTTTTGTGGCGAAACTAAAAAGCAGCAAATTACCGGTAACGAATTTGCTTGAATATGGTTATTTGCAGCACAGTTTGCGCGAAAATAGGGTGGCATGAAACATAAATTTATTTTTTCAAGAAAGTTTATACCTTATGCTGCAGCACGTGCCAAAACGCCGTTAGCATTACATATTGACTAATGGCTTTCTTCGACTACTACCCGGTAGTCGCATTATCACCGACTCGCCATTTATTTCGTACCATATCATATTATATCATACCATATACATATATATGTGTAGTTAAGACATTTTTTCTCGGAAATCACAAAAGCTTTTACAGTCCTGTTAACCTTTGTAGCAATTATGTACAAGCTTGTTGCGTTCAAGTACACAACATATTGCCACCCACATATGAAGGTTGCAACCAGTTGACAGTACTGTAGTTCATTATGCAATTGATAAAATTGAAATTGTACAGACTTTATGTTGCGCTATAAATAACTAAACTAACTACGTTGATTGCCAATGAAAATTTGTGTTTTTAAAATAGCGATAATTTTGTACGTTGCGCAGATCGAAGCTAGATAGCAGACCGCAATTTGTGTAATGAAGTATAATGATTGACATTTATAAGTAATTATATTTTACATACATATGTTGCTGATAGAATAAAGTGAAACAACGGAGAATTTTATATACGAAAAATACTGAGCTTTTATTCTGTTCCCGGATATTTTGGATACCAAAAATATTGTGCTTCCATTGAGCTTTACTAGAGCTTTTGGATATTTTGAATACTAAATATACTGAGCTTTCATTAAGCTTTACTAGAGCTTTCGAAAATTTTGTATGCTAAAAATGCTGAGCTTTACTAGAGCTTTTGGATATTTTTGATTTGGAGAAGCTTTCATATATTTTGAATTTGCTTTTAATGTCAATCAAGAAGAGTAAAGTTTTACTACATTTCTTCATAGAATCTTTTTTGAAATTTCATTTTCAATATTGAAAAAGTCAGACTAACTGAGAATATGGTATATTCGGAAAATATATGCTTAATCAACAATTTGTATAGATTTCAGGCTTAAAATCATAACTAAAACAATAATTTATTTTAATAACAGAGGTCATGCTGTTAATTAACCGTTTGACAGTTTTACGTCGGACAGTTGACAGTTTTACTGTTAATACACAGCGAAGTGCTGTTAACAATAATGTTGCAAAATAATAAATTTAAAGTACAAAAGCGGCATTCGTTTTGATAATTTTTTTTTTTTTTGTTGTACTAAAATGGTTTTTGCAGCAAACATTAAAATTTATGGACCTCCAAGCGCATTTTATGTAAAAAATATACAATTGTTTGAGTATACGTATGTATATTAACATTTTAATGCAAACATACATATAAATATGATGTATCTTCATTTGCGTGTGTGTGTGTAAAAATGTATAAACAGCTGCATTAGAAATATAATAACTTAGGTAATAGCTGTCACTCATGTGTGGCAATAATAGTTTGTTTATCTGAAATACTATTTTTCGCTCAAAGTTTTTCAATATTGCCAACCATTTTCATGTAAATAAATTTCATTGACGTTAACGTTCATTTGAGCGCATAAAAGTACAAAGAAATATTTGTGAGGTTACAAAATAAATATTACTTGTAGATTTTAATGAATAAATGTTTTATCTCCACGTGACAATTGAACAACTTAAAATCTCTATATCTCAAAGAGTATTAATATTATCGATTTGGTGCCAAAGACTTTTTTGTAGGAAATTAAATTCCTACAATTTTTCTGTAGCTAGTGTTGTTTACGAGATAATTTCAAAAAAACGCGAATTTCATGGAAAAATTAGGTTTGGAGGCCCGTACTACCCCGCAGGTGCAAGTTATAACTTTACCGCAATGGAGACTTTTGTAGAGCGTTCAATTCTGAGGAATACCTAATGACGGGTGAGATAATCCTATCAACTGCCGCTGAGTTATAAAATTAAAAAGAAAAAAAATCAAGTTTTACGTGTATTTTATATGGGAAATCTTTACAGGCCTAGATCTAGTACTTAATATTAAAATTAAAGTCCCAAATTTTTAGGGAATTTTTTTTTTGGTATTTCCAACAAAATTTCAACATGGGATCGAAAAAAAAAATAGTTCAAAAAAAAGCAGTCTAGTTTATATACTATATTTTTTCTGATATTGTTTAATAAATTATTTACTCAACTGCGTGGTACATTAGTTGTTCGCTTTCAACACTAAATTTGTTTTAGCAGCTGGTATGCTTATGGCAGTTATTTATTTAAAGTGTTTTCGTTTATTTTCAAGGTAAATATGTATGTACGACAGTGCTATTTTCCGGGGGTTTTCGAGGCGAGAACCTGAAGAAACTTCAAGAAAATAATACTCCTTAAGATTCTTGCACTGTTTTTTCTATGACACTAAAACAAAGTATATCTAAAATAAATTGAAATATTAAATTTTTGTATGTACAGTAGTAAATTGCATTAATATTAGCTTTACGAATTGAAAATAGCATAAAATAAGTAGGTGCTATGCTTTTCCAGCCTTGAAATATTAATTGAGGTAGTTTTACACCAAAAACTTCGAAAAAATTAAGCATACCCACAGGCGTTGCATGTTTCTGACGTGCTCAAATTTGATTTTTTGTATGGTCTATAACTATATAGACGAATTTTTCTTAAAAAAGCTGATATCTATAACTTGATTAACGTCAAATATTTAAATAGTCGTGATATAATACAACAACAACTGCAGTAATAATTACAAATACATATTAATTTGACATAACTGCCTTAACTTAAACTTAAAAAAAAATATTTCCAAAAAAAAAGCCATCCCTTACACACAACTAAAAATTATATAATAAACAGAATAATAAAAGAAAAATAATTTTTTTTTCTTTGAGGGATTATACTTGTATCCTCTTATGAATTTCAAAAATGTACATATATAGAAAAATACGCACCCCCTGCCCGCTAGGTGAAATTTTTCAGTACAATGGGCACCCAAAACTTCAAACGCATTTTTCTCAAAACGATGAGAAAAATTTCTTCTAATTTTAAGCAGAAAAATCTTCCTCACCGTCAGACACCCTTTTTCGGAAGTCTTGCTTGAGTTGGGTTACGGGATCAAGGAAATTAAACATTTTTCAAAATGAATTGCCGATTCTTAAAGTACATTAAATTCTGTAAATTTATTTATTAAATATAATGCATCTTCAGAAAAAGTTTACAAAAAAACTCTACAAATTAAAGCATAACCACAGGCGCACACATGAAATTCTTGGTCCAGAAAGCTAATTGTGTATAATATTAAACCTATGTATAGATTCTACTACTACTTTAACCATAAAAAAAGTGTAAAAAAAGTTTTTAAAAATTTCAGTAAATAAAACTTGACAATTATATAGAAAGTATAGGGTTAAGGATAATTTTCAACAACAACTTGCTTTTTATATGCTTTGAAATAATTTGAAATATAAGCCAGCAAAACAGCAGCATAATATTACGAAATCGCTTTGAAATACAATATTATCTTAAATATGCCTCTTGCACACCAAAAGTTTATTGCATTGATTGTCAATGACTTTTTAAAAAAACAACACTTAATAATATAGACTGAGAGCGACATTCAAAGTTCAGTGGCATCATTAAGGAAATACAATTTACACTTGAATAAAATAAACTCACACTGATAGATTATTAAATAAAATTTCATTTTATTTCATTACTTCTCTTTACGGCCTACCCCTATAAAAAGACATGGAAGACGAGTGCTATCCCGCAATTTCGCTGAAAACCGCAACCAGCAATATAGCACGCACACGGCACGATGTAGACATCACCAACATTGTTGACCCCAAGTGCTTGGCCATATCGGTGAACTGTGATGATACGCCAATGGAATTGGCTACACTAGAGCCCAACAGTCACACTACCAGCAGCTCTAGCAAATTAGCAACTAACACATTGCTCACCACCGCCGCTACCTCCAGCACACCCACAACTAGTGGTACATTGAGCATACCCGCCAGCAACGCAAACGGCAGTGGTATACTCACTGCAAACACCACTACCCGCCAATCTGCTACAGCGTTGCCATTACGCTACACACATGCCGGCATCTATGCGAGCCTCAGCAAGATCAACACCACCGCACCGATGACGTTTAATCTGCGCACCGCTGAAACGTCCAGTGGCACCAGCAGCAGCAGCTGTAGTTCCGGTTACGGCGGCAGCAACACGACTACAATTACACTTAGCAAACCCGCCGCTACACAACAACAACAACTGCAGCAACAGTCACACCTCCAACAGTACTTACCTCAGGCGGCGGCGGTGAGCACAGTCTTCGAACCGAGTAGCTGTCGTACGCCGTCAACGGCACGCGAAGGTAGCTCTTCGCCGGACATCTGTTCGGACATCGAAATCGATGAGTCGGCCATTAAGGATGAGCCCATGTCGCCCGATTCCAGTTGCCCGCCCAGCCCCAATTCGCCGGAATGCATAACAATGGCGAAAATCTCAAAATTAACCGCGCGCACCAACTCCGATCTCGTCTTTGAGCACAAGGTCAGTAACGAGGCAATATTTTTTTTTTGTTAAGAAAATTGTTGTTAATATTTACATTTTGTACACACACTACCAGAACGGTTGCCTGCAACTCACACCCGCCTCACAGAGCTTACTCAAAGCGCAACAACTCGGCTTGAATACCAGCACATCCGGCAATAATGGTCAAAACATTGTAATGCCCAAATTGAATATTAAGTCGGAGTCTAGCTATACTGGTGTTGGTGCCTCTATCAAGCATAACGGTCAATATGGTCTGCCATTGACGCCACCCTCCTGCTCGTCAAGTGATGGTGATTCCGAAGGTAATTTAACACCGGAACATTTACTATCACCACTTTCGCCCAACACTTCAGTTTCTATATCTGTGGCCAACCCTGCAGTCATTACACCCGTTGCCTTGCATGCCGCGAATGTGCGCCGTAGTGCCAGTAGCAGCAGCTCATCATCGCCATCATCCGCCTCGTCGTCGACATCGTCACTGCATGCAGCCGGTCGACATGCGTCTGGCGGAACAAGCGGTTCCACACGTCAGCCGATACATACCCCGCTCATTAGCTCACAGCCGGTAAGTTGAGTGTTTATAGTTGGATTTGGAAGTACACTACTAATTCACACTTTGCTTTGTATGCTTACAGAAAGGTTCAACTGGCGTACTTATCTTAACCGAGGAAGAGAAACGCACGCTACAAGCGGAAGGCTATCCAATCCCGCAGAAGCTACCACTTACCAAAGCGGAGGAGAAGTCGCTCAAGAAAATACGAAGAAAAATCAAAAATAAGGTGAGCGTCTAGTAAACCCTGAGTTAAAATAGGGAAGACTCCCCAGCGAACTTTTTCACTTAAACTTATTTTCGTGAGCAATAATCTTTAACGACCTTTTATAAGCTTCAAAAAAAAAATAATAACCGTGTAAGACTTACAGTCAATTGTTCGAAAAAGACTCCAAATCTTTTCAGTATGCCACAGCAGAAATGTACAAAACCATTTGCAGTTGACTGGCCTCTAGTTTCGCTTGGAAATGAAATAAAAAAATAAATGATTTTGGGAAAAACCTTCTAAATACGCGTTACTAAAACCCGATTGTTTTCAAATTGCACTGTTCAAATCAAAGTTCATTGCAACGGTCTTTTCGGCTAATCTTCTCATAATCCTCTTGATGCCAGAACGCGGTTGTTTCGGTAATCGTATCAGTATAAGAAGTTCGGTCATTGAATTTCTTCTCATCTGTTATGAATTTAAGCTTCCCGGGCACTACTCCTTGTTATACAGGATATACTCCCAAATAAAAGCGAACTTTCGGTTCATTAACTACCTTCGAACAACAGACATAGACGATAGGTTCTGCTACTAAAACTTTAATTTGCTGCAACATCGGTTTCTAGACACAAATTCTTTCAAAGTACATGTTTTTTTAGGCGTTTACAGTTTTGAAACAGTAGAACAGTGCATTTAAGAACCGTACGAAGATTGTTCATGCCCGGTATGGGTTAAACCACTCGAATAAGAAAGATCTTTAAACTTCTTAAACTAACTTCGAAAAAAACAAAAACGTACCACATCTATTATGAATAACACAACACTGCTTAGCAAATAGTTTTCAATAAAATTAGCTTAGGTTTGGCTCAATAAACATAAAAATTATCTAGTAAAGACAAGATCTCTTTGAGGTGCTCGAAAAATATCGAGTATCCAGTATTTACTCTATATTTATGTTATTTCAGATTTCTGCACAAGAGAGCCGTCGCAAAAAGAAGGAATATATGGATCAATTAGAGCGTCGCGTCGAAATACTTGTCAATGAGAATAATGAGCAGCGCAAACGTTGTGACGCATTGGAGCACACGAACGCCAATCTACTAAGTCAATTGCACAAATTGCAAGCGATGCTGAATAAACAGAGCAGCAAGAAGAACGCTTAAACGTTTGTTGAGAGTGAGAGCACGCGGGCGATGGGAATACAAAATGGAAACATTTTCGCAAGAAATTCAGCTTTTTTCACACCGCTAACAATGAAATGAATTTATTGAGCTGCAGCCAATTAAGATGATGCTAAAAATGTAGCAAAATTGGTAAACAAAATATTTTTTTTTTTAATTTTTTTATATTATATAAAATTAAATGTTAGGCGCGTGAATGTGTGCGTTTTTAAGTTAGAGTTTCTAATAGCGGTAGTTTACATATTTTACGAGATATTTACACTGTTTGAAGCTAGCATTTTTTATGTAATATGTATATGTGCATATATACATATATATATATATATGTATTTGCTTTTTATGAGAACATGTTTAAATGTATGCAGCATTTTTTATACATAACATATTATTGTATAGTAAGAGTAAATATATTTACATGTACTTAGTGTGTAAGTGAACGGGCTGGACAGGCTGTAAAAAAGATTTTTTATAAGTATACATACATACAATAATTGCTGTATTATGAAAACAAAAAAGAATCAACGTGCATTTCGTATTGTAAATCAATACTATATATTTACATGAAAACGAATTTTGACCAAAAAATTACTTAATGCAACATTTAATATATTATATAGTTAGATACTACAACTACATACATACATACTACAAAGTACCATTAAATAAGCCACTTAAAGTGCTTTACTTATTGCATATATAGATGGCTTTATATCGTTTAATTAAGTGTATAGTAGAAAAGTCCAGCCTCACAGTCCATGCCAATTTCGAAATCCATCTAGTAGTATAGTGCAAGTCCAAGTTTTATAACAATTACATATACATATATACATACATTTAAATTAATTTGTAAATAATAAATGTTAATAAAAATTAGCAACATTCCACTATTTAAACTAAATATTTTATTAATTAATTATAAAAAAATTTATTATATATAAAAATTTATTATGTATAAAAATTAATTATTATAAAAAAATATAATTGTAATTAATTTTTTGATGTGCGTTATTAATTAAAAATTATTAAAAAATTTATAACAAATATTTTTGCACAATTTTTCGCTATAAGTTTTAAAAGTTCTAACTAAAATTATTATTATTTTACTTTTTTTTTTACTTATGCTCAACAACAAAAAAAAAATGTTTATAAAAAGCGTTACTCTCCAATTTCAAAAGCTGCACTTGAAGTTATTAATTGCGTACACACATATATATATATAATATACATGCATATATCAGCCAAATGTGAATTTTTAGTAATTATACTTTAAGCGCAATTAATATTTTTTTCTGTAATAATAGCTTTGGCTATAATAAAATTATAGCAATAAAATTATGCGCTATTTTTACGTAACAGCATACAAGTAATTGCAATTAAATTAAATATTAGTTAAAAATGTAAAATAATTATTAAATTTTTATAAGTTTGCAATATGTATTTTAAGTTTTTTTTATAGCACTTTTTCCGCTTGCATGACATTTTATGCTTAAAGCTCACAACAACAATATTACGTACTTCCACTAATATTAATTAATTTAATTGCTTTATTATATAAACACAGTTATTTTTACATTTAAATACAACAACAACAAGCTCTATATTAAGCTTAAATTTAAAAAGTTTAATTTTAATGCAAAATCTCGCATTTTCTCTTTAATTCTCATTTAAGCAATTTCATAAGCAAACAACCGTCATTTAAAAGCTAAAATAACAATATTTTTGCCTCGCTTTATGCCAATATAATAGACATACATACATACATAACTACATGGAAGAAAATATTTAAGCAACATGTTTAACATTCGCAAAAGTCAAAGTTTTTGTAAAAATTTAGTCAGCACAAAACTTATTATGGTAAAAAATCGCAAGAATATTATGTTTTAATAATATTTGTTGCTTCGAATCTGTGTTAAAAATATATATAATATATATTTTTAGCATGTATTAGGAGGCATGTTTTCAGGCTTTTGAGTTTAGAAAAACTATCCAAGTTGTATCAATAGGCAGGCAGCACAACACAAGCGTCAAAGTATACTTTGGTGAAAGCTCGAAAGCTTTCACGAAAAGCTTTACATTAGCTTTGTCGTTTTACGAAAATCATACACGGCATCTACATCATATTTTTAACATAAAATGAAGCAAAATTTAGGTGAAAGCTTGAAAGCTTTCACGAAAAGCTTTACGTTTACTTAGCTTTGCCGACTTTCGAAAATCATACACGAATTATATATTCGGCAATACGTCGCTGCCTTAACCGCAATTAAGTTTATATAGTCTACTACGAGTACTACCTTAATTTCCTATGGAAATTTCAAAGCCCATTAGGTTTTTCTTTGTGCACAAAAGCGCGCCAACGCCATTGCCGAAAATAAATAAATCAGAGTTAAGCGTAGTTTCTACAGTTGCTGCTGTAGCGAAGCGTAAATTTCATAAAAAAAAACAGCCCAAGCGCGTCTTTATATGTAAATTCGGCTCATTTTCCGCGTGCTACGTCATTTTAGCTCTCGTACAGGCGCTTTCAGCTGCTGCTGTGCGGAAGACACATTTTCTAGTCTTTGAATTTCTGCTAGGAAAGTATGGGTGTTTAACGGTTTAAATTAAACCAATTTGTTTGGCTTTTTCAAACGCTTCTCTCTAACACTAAACCAAGCCTCGTAAAAAAATATGTGCAATAATTTCGACTAAATGTATTTATTAGTAGCAAAAAAATAAAAATAAAAAATACAAACTGACTAAATTTAGTGAATGTTAAGCGTGATTTGTTTGGCATATTGTTCCTTTATTCATAGACAATGAAAGTCAGAGTTGATTACTTGAAAAATATGCAAAGTAAATGCAAAAAGTTGAGAGTAAATGTGAAATTACGCGTGAAATTTAAGTTCAAATTAAATAAAATTTCATTATGCTGTGCTTTTTTTTAAAGCTTTTAAAAGCTGCTTAAGTAAAAATTTATTAATTTTTTCAACTAGCCACGAGATAAACGTAAATTTTTATAACTGATTATTATTATTGTTGAAAATATTAAAAAATACAATAAGTTTGTGTTGTCAAAATTATTTGCAAATCTGACTTTGTGAATGTTTAATTTTGAAAAAAAAAATGTATATCATATATATTTCATTAAAAATCAGTTTCGAAAATTTTTTTTGTTAAAATTTTTGTTTCGAAAAATTTCGTTTTTATAATGTCTTTCACAATTTTGCTGATTTTTTTTTTAAATTATTTTTCAAAAATTTGTTTAAAACTGTTTTTTTTTATTTTTTTTTGGTATCAAAATTTTACCGTTATTTATTTATACATTTTAATCAAACTTTCGCTTTTCTAAAAATTTAAACTATTTTTATTTTTTCAAAATTTTAATTTTTATATATTATTTTTTTTTTTTTAATTTCAATAACGTTTTCTAAACAATTTTTATATTTTTGTATATTCAAAATATTATTTTTGATGATATATACTTTTTATATCCGCGTATTTTTACACCATAAACTTAAAAAAATGGTGTCACCTTTCACTTAGAATTAAAAAATGCATATAACTATTAATTTTTAAATTAAAATTTTAAAATCTACTACTTCAAACTATTAATTTTTAGCTGTATGTATACAAATATCGATTTAAAATTAATTTAGTTTTAAAAGCATTTCGTTGATAACTATTAGTTGTTTAGAAATAAACTTTCCGAGCCAATAGAAATTATTTTAACGGTACATATACATATGTAACTAAATATATATTTTTAAGTTGGTAAGAACAATTTAATTAAATGTTGATAATTAAAAAAAAATTAGAAAAAATTTGGGTCATAATTTTTCTTTTTTTATTTTGTTTTATAGCAACACACATAATTTATTTTGCTTTTGTTATATGCAAAAAATAGTTAACGCTTTTGACATTCAAAAACAATGCGTATTTTTATATGTAAGACTGTACTAATTTGCGAAAAATTATATGCAAGCGTAAGAATAAAATGTGTACATATTGTAGTAGACTAAAAGTATAACTTTATGCATCAATAGAAAAAATTTAAATTAATTATGTTTGTAAGAAATTGACAATATAAATGATTTATGTATAAATAAATGGCATACAAATATAATTTTTTAAAAACAATGTGTAGAAAATAATATTTTGTAGCAAATTGAAAAAGCAATGCAAAAGAATATGTAACGAAAATAATAATTTCTGTATAACGTGGCTAGACAAGTGCAAATCAATCTTTTTTAATGTGTTGTAGCATGCGCGAATTTTGTTTGGCTTTTTAAGAAGAAATCAAATTTTTTTCAAACATTTTAATGAAAAAATTAATAACTTAACACAGCTATTTTATATATTTTTAATAATTACACTGCAAAATAAATATAAAAAAAAATCATAAAAATAAAAATAATACCTTACTGCATACAAAATTGCGCAAATGATTGGTTTTTGTGAAAAAAGTGTGTGACCGAAAACTAACTTTCATGCAACATTTTTCTTCTAAATTTTTTCAGTTTTAAAATTTTTTACATTATTATTTTTTTTTTTTATTATTTTGTCACAAATTTTTTCTAAACTTTTTTCTAAAAATTTTTTGTACTAATTTTATCTAAATTTGCTTCTAAAACTTGAAGTATTTTTATTTTATGTTTTTCAAAATTTTTTTTTGCCTTACTTAATATATTAAACAGTCTATAATGCAATATTTTTATATAATACATATCTTTTATTGAATTTTTCTACACATGACTTTAAAATATTTTTCCAAAAAACTCAAATTTTCATTTTTTTACTTAAAATATTATGCAGTCTTTAATGCAATATTTTGCTTCTAAATGTTTTCAGTTTTCAAGTCTTTGGTATGCATTTTTTTTTTAATTTTTTTGTCACAAATTGTTTGGACTTAATTTTTTAAAACTTTTTTCAGAAAATTCAAGTATTTTTATTTTATGTTTTTTTTTTTTAATTTAAGTTTTTTACTCAATATATTAAGCAGTCTTTAATGCTTTATTTTTAAAAAATATCTCTTATTGAATTTCACTTACAAATAAAGTCCATATTAAATGTTAAAAGCTTAGTCATTAAAAATAATTAGTTTAAGCGCTATTAGTTTGCATAAAATTGTATAGTTTTTAAACAAAAATAATATTTTTTGTTTATAAACATTTTAAGTAATTTCAAAAAATGTGTAGTTAACTACTTTTCAGCTGATAAACATAAATACATATACCATACATGATATTTGATATGTTTTATATGCTAGTGCAATTTAGTAGTTACCTAAATCATTTTATTTTCATATACATACATATATACATATATTTTTGTTTTTGGTTTTTTTTTTGTTTTGTTTTTAGTTACTTTTCTACTTTTGTCTGTCTGTTTTTTTTTAATTCTTTATTTTTTTATTTATTTTTTTTTTTTTAGTTAAATTTTTTTTTTTTAATTCATCATTCATTTTATTACTATTTTTTTTTATAAAAGTTAATGCAATGTATAGCAACATTAAAGTCATTTCAAATAAGGCGCACGTAAACAAAAAAATTTCAATTTTATGTTTACTCTTATTTAATATTTTGCTGAAAAACAAAATAAAATTGTTAAATATTTTAAATTTTGTTTCTGGTGATTCTTGGCAAAACACACATTGCCTTGTATGCGCCTGCGCTGCATATATAAATAATAGGAAAAGTGTTAAAAGTAAGGTAGTTAGCGTAACCGGCTAGTGTTTGTAGGTGGTGAGTGGGGCATATTGAATATTAGCGTATAGAATTTAAATAAAATGCCTTATTTTATTGCAAGAAAGTGTAAGCTCGTGGTACACAAATATACATAACATACATACATTTAAATATACTTACAATACAATGTACTTATTAACATTTAAAGCAGAACTGTACATACATACATATAGTGTATAAAAATAGACGAAATATGTGTGTGTGAAAAAATTGCACAGCAACCAGAAAAAATTATTAAATATACTAAAAAATGATGAAAAGGTTTATCAGTGCATCAAAATTCTGCAAAATAATTATGTACATAAGTGGCAAGTGGAAATGTGCAATTTTGCTGTTTAGCTGAAATTTATATTAAATTCCTTTTGTTAAAAAAAATATATATATATGTAACTACTATTAAATTAGTATACGCCTAAAACAAAAAGTAAACGTTTACCTACATGCATATATACATACATATATTCTAATATATTTAGTACAATTTGTTGAGCATAGAAAAAAAGAAACGAAAAACAAAAATAAAACGTAAAAATTAAATAAAACTATTAATATTGTAAACTACAAAACTATTAACGACAAAAAACGAGGCACAACTTTCATATAAAATATATACTTATACATATATACATAAATGCATGCATACATTTAAAAACAAGAAAAATAAGAACTGTATATTTAAGTGAAAACATAGAAACTTTTAATGCCAAGAGAATGTAATTTAAATAAATGAAAAATTTACGATATTTGCGAACTGTTTTTGTTTGTTGCCTAATTACGAGTATACACTATATACTTATATGAATAATATTTTATTTTATTTTTTTCAATGAAAAGTGCATATTATACATACATTTACATATTTAGTAAATACAGACTAAAGTTAAATTGAATATACATATATTTACACAACTAAACAATGAAAGGCAAATTGCTATAAATATGCAAATTAAAAGACATTTAAATAAAACGATTTAAGTTAATTAAAATAAAAAATAATAATAAATGCATACATAAATGAATGAAATGAGGCGTTAAAAGCTAGTAAAAAAATTTAATTATTTTGTTTAGTGTATGCAGACACTTTATGCATAATAAAATATCGTAAAATGTTAAAAACCAAACTGCAAAAATATAAAAAATTTATTCAAAAATATATACTATACAATACATATAATGTTTTAAAGCAAAAATTGTTATATAGCGTTTTATTTTGTTACACCACCGAGGAGGGGAGCAAATTAAAATCCACGAAATGGTGAAAAAAAATTTAATTCAAATGCTTTGTTTGAATCTCTTTCATTTTTACCATTTTCAAAGGCTTCTGCACTGGTCTAACACTCTGCTTAGTGTATAAAAACAACGCCAATGGGAATATTGAGCGAACTTAAGACTTGTGACGCAAGAACTACGCAATTATTGTTTTCTATTGATCGATTACTGTAAACCCTCAGTATTTATGAATTGAACAATTTGCAGCTAATACACAGTCATTTAGTTGTCTCAACGCAGGCACATTTCTTTAAAATATTTCAATTGACCTTGCTATGACACCAGCGCAAGCATGTCAAAAAACGGCAACAATTTAAAAGCAACACTTTTCTCATTTTCCCCAATACTTCGCGCTAGCAGAGTACTACATATTTTTATAACTTTTGTTTACCATTTCATAGATAAAAAACACAAGACAACACTACGGAAGAACTATTTGCAACAGAAAATTAACGTAACTGTTTTTCATTTCCTGTTCCATCTACTACTTTCCAAGCAATAACAGCTCATGCACAGTGTTGTATGAAATTTTATTTTGTACAGTGCCTCAGTTCTCCCGCAAGTGACAAAATTTCGCATACGATTTGTTTTTTTAAAAGGAACATGAGATAAATGTCTTGCAGCAACAGTTTTCACCACTAAAAAAACATTATTAGCTTTTGTTAAAACGTACATTTTAAATAAAATACAAAGCATTATTGTAACTTCTGCCGCACACTTGTTTCTGGCAATGCTCTTTCCATTCCTGCCAATCATATGGCATCTTATTGTGAACTAACTGTTTAGAGTAAGCAGCGACGAAAAAACAATGTAAATTTGAGTTTTTTGACATATAGTAGTATTCAAAATTAATAACCAACCACAAAAAGCAAGCAAATTAAATAAAAAACAGTATAAAAATTGCAAAACGGAGAAATAAATTGGTTGTTTATTGTTTGTGGTAAAAATAAGGAGGTGTTTATCACAACCGGCACGATTCTGCCGTAGCTTTTTGATTTTTGCCTTCAACAGCTTATGCGCAGTACGGAGCTAAACAGCGCAGATAAAGTCAAAAGTCAGTAAACAGAAGACATCAATAAGAAGCAGTTGAAAAAAGTAGAGGGAATTTAGCTTTTGTCAAATGGTTTGTGGAAAAACACCAGAAATTTTCGCTGAAAATTTTCTGAAATACTGCAAACGAAAAATGAATAAATGCGTATAGAATAATTGTCTGCATACATTTCATAGAAAGAATTGAGCGTGTTTGATACACAAAGGACATATAAAGGACAATTGGTGAAAATCTGTGAAACATCTGAAGGCGATCCCAGTTCCCTACACCAAATTTGTCTATGCGAAACAGGCAGATTATTGCTCTTTCATTCATTCAGGTAATTAGTCAAGCATACCGCTCATCCCCCTGTTCATAAAAAGTTGTTTTAATGACAGCCAGAATAAAAATAATCAGTCAAAAGGTAGTGGAGAAGGAAGCGAACGAACAATTAAATTTTATTCGGGTTCTAGAATTATGTCGATTAATGGAGTGCTTCGCTAACAAACATTACGCTTGAAGCTTTATTATATTGTCGTGGAAATATCTTTTCTCGCATTTATCTCATTATGCAGTGTATAGTATTAAGAACGTCAAGATCTTGCGAAAATTCGGAAAAGCAAATGTGTCGCTAAATTTTGCGTAAAGTGGAAATGTGTTTGAAATCACTCAAGTCATATACATATTTTTAAATTGTCGAATGAAACAAATGAGTGCTGTTGAAAGAAAGTTTCACAATACTTTCTAGAATTTACTAATAGTTTCGCGTGTCGTGTATAAAATAATATTGCTGATAAATAAAAAAGTTCCTTTGGTGAGATAAAAATTATACGGATGTGCGTGTGTATCTTCATGTAAACAAGAATTTCGAGCATAACAACGTTCGTGACATTGGTCTCGAATATTTACAACATGTGTCATAACAACAAAAACCAATGCAAAACATAATCATAATATACATACATGTGTTGAGCTTGAAATTTTACCTGTTGAAACAAATTAAAAACATTTTTTTCTAAAAAAAAAACACAAAACGCTAACTCGAATTTCAATTTATGTGTTATCTAATGAAATCCGCTCTACGCACACCTATATTTTTAAAACAATATACTTTTATTAGGTTTTTGCTTGAGTACGTCCAAGAAAATAAGAGTGCCAAATTCAAGATAACCTTCCGTCCACCGTTGCATATTTCGCGTTATGTTTGACAATTTTCTCAGTATGCTGCGTAAGCGCCGCCGCCTTGATAATGTACCAGACGTAGCAATGCCAGGGCCGGCTGAGCGAGCAGCTAACGCAGATGAATATTGGAATACATTATTCAATAATACGACAAACAACTCAACCGCCGCAAATACAACAAGTAGTTCTTCTTCCTTCTCCATACCCGTCGGCACTGCCGTCCCGCATTTAAATACAACTACGAAGTCCAGTGGTGCTGTCGATAACGACTTGTCGTTGCTGACACTGCCATCACTAGAACTCTGCTCAATTGATAGGTAATTGAAGATTAATTTTTTATTTATTTTTAAATATCTTTTCAGTATTTTCGACGTTCATAACATTACGTCGCGTAAACTTTAGAGGCTGGCTACAAAACGAGATAAAATATTTTAATAAAATTATTTAAAGTCTCTCTCGTCTTGCTATTTTAATATACATATAAAGCAAACAAAGCCAAAAGACAACATTCCAAGTGTAAATTCGAAAAACCATTCACAACTGATTTGTGAAGTACAAAAACAAGAAAACACACACCGTAACACAGAAAACATAAAGCGTCCATACAATAGATTTTGGTCAATTCATAGGCATATAAGACACAACGATAGTAGGTGTTTTAGGAGCAACAAAATAATAATAACATCGAAGATATACACAGTGACTGAGTGTAGAGAAAAATCAAAACAACCAATAATATCAATAGTCAGCAATTGTCGCCCGCGCAATATACTAAATTAGCTCGCAGTTTCTGCACTAAAGGCACACTGGTTTATTTTAATTTCGTTGTTTCGAGCGTTTAACGCTAAAAAAGCTTTCATCACGTCTCAGGGAGAAGATATGGACATTGATTCCACTCCTGTGCCACCACCACAGGAGTACTCAGATAACCCAGCAGGCTATCAGTCGGAATCATCAATGAATTTTGATTATTTGCACGGTCTAAATGACGCTGCAGCAAGGGCGTCATCATCAGCATCATCACTAGGCGGTCATGTAAGCTTTCCGGAAACGTCACGTCACTTTAGTGAACTTTCTGGCGGTGGTATAGATGTTAATGCTTCATCAACGCAGAGCTATGGATATGTGGATGACAGTAAAGCATTGGACAGGTTGTTATACAAGTGTATTTATATACATAGTAAAAAAAACAACACTTAAAAAATGTGTAGTTATATACCTACAGTATGTCTGTCAAACGTGTTTTAGTCGAAAAACAATTTTTCTTGAGAAACGATATATTTTCAAAGTGCTTTTCAAACAAATCTATGCAAGGAGTTGCCCTATTTCAATATTAAATCATAGTGTGTGGGCGAGAAAACTCTAAATATGTGCATATACATATTCTATTAATAGATAAGTGATTTAGAAGTTTTGCGCCCGTGCAAACAATGTGCACACTTTCGTTTTCAAAAGTCCATATAAGGGCACCTGAACGCGAGCAACTAATGGAAATATATTGCATGTGGTTCGAAATGTGTATGTTAAGCGTGTAAATGTAGTATAAAAAAATTTCAAGCCATTCCTTTATTGTCGATTTCGCGTGTAAATATTATTTCTACATTACTAAAATTTGTTGCTGCAATATTTCAGTAATGCAAAGTTTTATATACACAAACATATGCACATAAGTTTGCTTATTTTACATAATTTTAATTTGACTTGTAATGATTAATTTTATCATAACCGCAATACAAAGCTAATGTAATCGACTGCACCTTTTATGTTCCAAACGTTTTACCACTCCTTATAGTTTGACAGCACTAGAATTTAACTACTGCACATGCATTATTATTATTATACCCCGAACAGTGTATACCATATTAAGTTATGTTTGTAACATACAGAAGAATACGTTCGAAAATAAAACATTTTTTTATATACTTTTATACCATAAGAAATGCAGCTGCGAGGGGTATCAAGCTTCGGTGCAGCCGAAGTTAATGTTTTTTCTTGCTTTTTACTTTAAAAATTATATATTATTTATTTAAGTAGTTCCTAACTGTGGTGTGGCATTTAATTTACTTATTAGACTTTACAAAATAATGATTTTACTTTTTTTTATTTTTATGTATTTATATATGTAACTTGATGTACTACTATTGAATCAATCAAACAACAAATCACAATTTCCAACAAATCCAAATAATATCAACTACTTCATTGTCTCATCGCAATTAAAATATACCACACGTAACAAAATGCTAAACAGGCCCTTTAACCTTAACGAGAGGTAATTCCAATTATAATTTTTCCAATTACATACCTAATATGTTTTAATTTAGAAAAAAAGTATTAACGTTTCATCATCAAAATCAATAAACTAAATTAATAATTGTATGCAATTCAGATTTGTTTCAGTGTTAGATCAATTGGATGCGCGCGTTGAGAAATTCCGTAAAGATGCCTTGGGCTTGCAAGAAAAGAAAGACTTCCTACTCATGTCCATTGATTTGATCAAGAGTCACGATATGCTGCATTCCATGATGGAAGGTAAGCGTTTGCATATAAATCACAATGAACATATAATTAAATAAATTGTATTTGTTTTTTTGCAGCGGAACGTGAAGAAATCTTCTGCTACATACAACGAGTTAATGCGCGCCTCTCCACCGTCGATTTATTGGTACATACGGTACGTGATCGTTCGCAGGAGGATGCGCTTAGTCAAATCAATGCGCTGATCGATATGATGATTACTATTGGTGACCCAGTGTTATCGCGTCAACGTTGCCAACAATACCTGAATGCTTGCTGCAGTGCAGCGGAAGCATCATCCTCGTATGAATATGGTGTGGATATGGATGCTGGGCCGGTCGACAAGAAATTCGAGAGCGCACTATTGGGTTGCACGCTCGACGATCAGAAGAACATTAAAAAGCGGTTGCAGGCCTTAATGGGTTATTTAAACAAACAGACAATACGAAATTGAGTTGATTTCATGATTTCCAAGTATATTACAATACAAACAGTTAAACAAGGAGACATTAAACAGCTAATTTAGTTTAATGTAAGCCATTGATTGGATGCTGTTGCCTCAAAACACGCGTTAGCCGCTATCAATGCGTGTTAGTGCGCGGCAAGTGGCAAGTTTAACAACAAAATTGAATTTTCGTGCTTGCTTTTATACGGCACACATCTTACATACATACATAAAAAAGTACTTTAAAAATTTTGTCACAAATATGAAACAGGTTTTTTTTTATATTTTACTATAATACCCATCTACCTATGTATGTAGTTTTTATAATTTCGACTATATAATTTTTCAACTCTTTCAAATGCATAATGTTGCCATGCCTAAAAATTGTATTAGCGCAGTTTTAATAAAAGCAAAATAAAACAAAAAAAAAAAAATCAGAAAAAAAATATAAAAATAAATATGAAATTTTAATTTAAAATGAAGTTTGCCCATTTCTAGCTAAATATTTTATGCATAAAAATTACTTAACATACATACACTCATATGTACACATTAGTTTATATACATATATGCATGTATTTGTAGACCAAAACGAAGAAAAAACATTAAAGAATCTGTTGTATAATCATAAAAAATAATTTAACTGAAGTAAAAAAAAACGCAAAAACGATTTTTAAAGTAAAAAATCTTAATCTTACAAAACTATAAAAAGCTGTATTATTATTATTATTTTTTTTTTTGTGTATGTCAAGTATATGCGCTCGCTTTCGCCCGTAGCAGCCAACAACAGCACGCAGCTACCATCAAATATTCGCAAAACAATGATCATCCGGGCTTAGCAGCCGATCAGTCAACAACCACACCGCACCGCCCACGCCGAAAAATATTTGTCGTATATTCTTTGATGTAAAGTAAACAATCTCGTTGTCTTCCGCTGTCAAGTTGCGTTGTAATTCGCAACGCACAATTGCACCGTACTTTGGTACGGCATAGAAGAGCGCACCGGTGCGCCCGTCCACCATCATACCCTTGCTGGGACCCAGCAAACTGCCCAACAACTCCAGTTCAATTGCATTCGCTCCGTCATCCGTCGTCACCGCCGTCTGCTGCATTTGCTTTTCATTCAAATTATCGATGATTTCATTGGCTTCCTTTGTTTTTGTCTTTAATTGTGAGTTTGGCGTTGCATATAGCTTGCCATCCGCATCGGCAAAGAGCAGCTCACGTTGCAGGCCGAAAGCGATGTCGATTGGTTTAATTGGAAACGGCGCCTCAATAATGCCTTGGAATTTGCGACTGAGCAGCGCGGGACGATGCCACTTCTGTTCCACTATATCGTAGGCGAGTATGTGTGCATCGTCTGGACGTAGGAAGTATATATATTTTTCCACTTTACACAACGCTGGACTGGGACCCAATTTGATGATCAATTTCTCACTATCCCGTGGTGTTAGATAGCGGCTGCAGTCGATGCGCAATACCTGCCACGTTGGGTTGGGTAGAGGAAATATAAATGCATAATTATTTTATTTTTTATATTGTTTCTTTTCATTCATTAATTTTAGCTCTTTTCATACATAAATCAAAGAGAAGATCTGAGCTTTTTAAAATATGTTTAGAAATATATATCTTCCCTAGGCGTTTCTTTACTCCTGTACTCCAAATTTTGCCAAACACTTGTAAGAGTTTCTCTGAGTTCATTCGCATAGCATGAACCTCAAAATAAGCCCTTTTTAAACATCTGGCTGCTCTCTCTGCTTGCACTGCAAATTCTTCGTTACAAACCCATTTCGAAATTCTGGCAAAACTCAGGCTTAAAATGGAACTAGTCCATGAAAACTTCACTAAACTAACAACTGTCCCGACACTTCTGGCTTCTTTCCACTGTTCGGCTTTTGCTATGCTGAGATTGAAACATCTCGAAAATCACACTTTCGGCGGACCAGAAGATTTGGCCGAAACTGATATTGGCCGTCTCAACAAGTTTGTCATAGACACAAAGCGCTTTGTCGACATTTAAGGGTCTATTGATACAGTCATAGGAGATCGACCTCCTAACCTAACTTAACCTAATAACTGTCTTTCTGTAGAGACGAAATTTCTGAGACACTGTTAGTCGCCCCGCCGTGGTGTATTAGTACAGTCACACACTAACACTAGCGTTAGATCCTCATCATAAACGAAACGTGTCGACAAACTTGCATAGTACTTGCAAACATAAGCTTTGCTTCCTGCCCTTTAGGATGTCACGATTTAACGTATTTTTCTGTCAAAAGCACATTAACCCTTATGTTAGTAACCAACTTTACCGACATCTTTTAGCAACCGGGTACCACGATCTCAGCATTATTATTATTTTATTTATTTTTTTTTTTTAAATTTTTCTAAAAAATTTTCTTTTTCAAATATTAATAGTCAGTGACAATTTAAAGAAAAAAAATAACAACGTAGAAAAAAAATAGCTTTCTTTTAAGTTAAAAAACGACGATTTGAGAGCTTAAAATGAAATATCGAATTTTTTTTAAGCTATTCATACAAATACACCGCGGTGGGTACCCGCGTACCCGTTTACTAACATAAGGGTTAAATAAAGTAATAGCACGAAATCATTGCAAACGCTATTTCTATCACGCTTGATTGCAATTATTGCCTTAATTGTTTTACTGTATTAAGATTCAAAGCTTCAACTTGTTTCAGCCGCGGCACTCACCTCCGCATCGTTGCGAATCAAGTCATACACCAACAACTTGGGCGCACACATTTCGGTCGTTTTCTCTGTCTCCTCAACTGACAACGATGGCGTTTGCTCCCACCCTGCATCGAATACCCATAAACGTCCCAAATTATCCACCTGGGTCCATATAGCTTTCTGTATCAATTCGCAGTCACTTCGATTGCCATTCGCGTGCGCGTATGTATGCGGATATATCGCGCTTCGTAGGGGTACAAAGTTTTCCGGCCATTTGGTGGCGATCAACGTGGGAAAGTGTTCATTCTCCACGCTAATGCAGAGGAAGACACGTGAGTAATAGAGCGATAGGTGGCGCACGCGATAGGATTCGGTGAGGCCGGTCTGTGCTAGATGCCACGCGTGGCT